TAAATCACACGAGTGTCGTCACATCTACATTCACACACCCTCTGCATAAAGCACAGCAGGATATACTCCCTCCGTTCCTAAATGCATGTCTTTGTAGAGATTCCACCATAAACCGCATACGGATGTATATAGATGCATTTTAAGTTTAGATTCATTCGTTTTGCTCCGTATGTAGTCCACCTAGTGGAATCTCTGCAAAGACTTATATTTAGGAACGGAGGGAGTAAAATATTACACCCTAGAACATTTCGCACATAACTTGATAAGATTCAAAGAAGAAGAAAAGCAGTGACAACAACAGAGAGGAAAGATGAAAACAAGGACTACCCACATCAATGTCTCTGATGACTTTGTACATACCTGTTCCGTTCATGATCATGCTGCTTCTAAACTTTTACTGGTCCCTTCAGTTAAAGAAGATCCTCCTTAATCTGCTAAATTCCATAACTATTGTCATCTATGGATTCATAAAGACTGATGATTGTCCCGCAAAAAAATAAAAATAAAGACTGATGATTGGATTTGTTCTTATTTATTTCTGCTACAGGGCATATGCGTTCAAAGTAAAGGCTAAAAAATATTGTAACAAAAGCAAAAGCCTAAAGGTATAGCATTCAGGTTCCGTATAAGTGTTTCATGGTAGTTTACTGCACTGGTATGCGGATCATTAACTCCATTTGTCCAGCAAACTGACAAAACACCAAGGAATCTGTGTATTTCAGCTATTTGATATTTCTACAACAATGGCTCAAATGGCATTATCAAAATTTCATTAGGAGACATTGGCCTGACCATAAAAAATGGTTAAGAAAAAATAAAAGAGTAAGAAACTCTACACAAGACTTGGATTCTAAGTATTAAACTTGCCTTCTGCCAGTTACGATCAACTTGTCGGTGCAGGAAAACGGCAAAAGAAACTCTCATGTCTGCACCCTTCATCATATGCCAGGTGTATGACCAATATTTTGTAGGTGACTGCTAAGTGAGATGCAGCTCGTCCGCTTCGATCTGGACGCTCACCACACAAATCTCCTAGTACACCTGACAACTCTTTTAACATAGGAGAATGGTTTACCAGGAAGGATAGTACTGTGGCCTGTCGGTGTTGCAGCATTTGATCTCATCTTAATGCTCTCGCTGTTTGTTAACTGCAATTGCACACAAAACCAAATAAGATTCAGGAAAGAGGACAAGCAACACCTAAAGGAAGATCCTCTGTTCTGTTCTGTTCTGTTGATGGTTGTGTCACTTCTAAGCTTTTACTGATCCAATATTAGTCTACTAAATCCAATGAAATCGCCACCCTTTGTCTACCATGAAATTGCCATGCTCGTGGATTCCATCTTCATTCATTTTGTGGCAAGGTTGGATTCGTCTTTGCATTTCCTCGGGTCAATAAGTACAAAAATAATATTAAAAACCTGTAAAAGGGGAATGGCTAAAGAAATATCCTTCAGGTTCCATATCTCTGTGTCATGGTAGTTTACTGCACTGATACTATGGATAAGCGATCCAATTTATCCAGAAAGTAACACAGCTCCAAAAAAAGTGTGTATTCAGTTATTTGCTATTTCTACAACAATGGTTAAAATGGCATTATAATAAAAAAAAACACCAGGAGACGTTGGCCTGACCGGCTGACCATAAGAAAGGTGTATGAGAATAAAAAGAGACTCTACCACAAGACTTGACTCCTGTTAAAGCTGACTTGTGCCAAGCTCAGTCAACTGCCAGTGCAGAAAGAACGCAAAGGAAAAGACCTCATGGCCTCACCCTTCATCCTATGTCAAATGTATGAACAATAGTTTGTTCTCACCAGAATAACTACAGGTCCCCATAAAATATAACTACTGGTCAGACCACTGTCCATTGTTCTTTGACCAAGTCCAAGTGATATGAGTCTGTACATTAACTGACCAAGCATGGCCCTACATTGGTTAGATCACCAAGCTGAAGACTCGTAATCAAAGAACTAGATGATCAGGTTTATATTGACTAAGGAGAAATCAACCAGTGCCATCACATTGACATCAACACAACGTCAGCATAAAACAGTGCAGGATCTAAGAGATTACACCCTAGAATATTTTCTTGTCCTTTGTTAAAAGCACTTACACACATGACTAAATACAATTCAAAGAGGAAAAAAAGGCAGCAACAACAACAGTGAAGAAAGATGAAAACGAGGACTACACTACATCAATGTCTCCGAAGACTTTGTACATACCTGTTTTGCTCATGATCGTGTTGCTTCTGAACTTTGACTGATCCCTTCAGTAAAAGAAGATCCTTCTTAGTCTGCTAAATTCCATAATATTATCATCTATGGTCACCATCAAATTGCCATATCCGTGAATTCCATTTTTGCTAAAACTGTCATGTGACCAAGTTTACAGTTTTGATATTTCTAAGCACCATTGCTTTTTCCAACCTAGCGCACATGTGCGGCATGGTGGGCTGGCCCAGTTCGGTGCACCCTGTTGGTTTGTGTGGTCTTTTTTGGGGGGTTTTCTTGGATTTTTGTCGGTTTTCTGGTTTTAAAAATACAAAAAAAATACTCAGGAACTTAAAGAAAAAACTCATATATTTAAATAAAATACAAAAGCATGCTCGTGAATTTTAGCAATGTTCATAGATTTAGAAAATGTGCACAGAATTTATTTAAAAAATGTTCATGAAATTTGAAAAACGTTTGATTTTTTTAAAATAAATTTACCGAAAAATAATGTTTCTTTTAGGAAAACATTAATGACTTTACAAGATTGTTCATGAAACTTTAAAAAGCATATTCACAAATTTTAGAAAAAATGTTCCCAGATTTAGGGAAATGGTCGTCTATTGAAACAATATTCATGTATTATAAAAAGAAAAAGGAAACCAGAAATATAAAAAGAAGAGAAAAAATAGAAAAAGAAAAAAACTGAAAGAAAAATAAGAAAACCGGAAAAAAACGGAAGAAAACCCAGACAAAACCAATAAAGAATAAAACAGTTAGAAATGGGCTGGCCTAGTGCTCATCTTCCCCTGTGTCAACTGACTATATAAGTACAGCGAGCGACATATAGAATTTAACACAAAAGGTCAAGTCAGGTGGTCTGACAGGCAGGCCTGATTTGTCGAGGTACTCTCAACATGGTCTCCGTTGCCCAGTAGCAGTAGCCTAACATGCTGCAACATTTTATTTTATTTTCAGAAAATGCTACACAGCATGTTGGATGCTAAAATAAGAGAGAAGCTCAAAGTACTCTGTAATGATCACTAGAGTTTAAGAACATACAGGAGACTAATATCAGCATTAGTGCAGATGCAACGTTCAGCTAGTCAATAAGTAAAAGCTCAAAAGCTGTAAAAAACGGAAAGGCTAAAAGGGTTGCATTCAGGTTCCGTATCAGTGTCATGGTAGTTTACTGTACTGGTATTATGGGGCCACTATCTCAATTTGTCCAGCAAACTGACAAAACTACAGAGAATCTGTGTATTCAATTATTTGCTATGTCTACAACAATGGCTCAAAATGGCATTATCAGAACTTCATCAGTAAACATTCGCCTGGCCGGCTGACCATAAGAAAGTGTAAGAAAAAAGAGTAAGAAACTCTACGCAAGACTTGGCTTCTCTTAAACTTGCCTTGTGCCAGTTACGGTCAACTGCCAATGCAGGAAAAAGGTAAAGGAAAGATCTCATGGCGGCATCCTTCATCCTACGCGAACTGTAAGCCCAACAATTTGTTCTCACCAGTATAACAACAGGCCAGCCCTTCAGCTCTGTTAATTTGTCACAGCATAACCCAAACTTGTAATTTGTCAAGCAATATGAACTCCAGCAGGAATGCAGCAATGCAATCCTCTCGGTAAACATCTCAAGAGCTCAATCTTATTGTCCTCCCAGTCAGAAGGACCAAGCTGTCAGTGGATTTCCATGAAGAACAGGGCATCCTGAGTTTCTTGTATGGACTATGGAGTGTCACTTGTACACATCTGTATATGCGAAGTATCATCTCAAACATTTCTGATTCATGAGAATCTTAAACAGCTTGGCCCAGATATGCCTGAGGATACACTTCTTGCAACCCTGTGTCTTACATTTGGGTCACAACATAGCCTACTGTTCCAGCTAGCTGCCTCCTGCCTGCCTGCTCAAAACCCATGCAGCTCGAAATGGTCCGCAAGTGTATACTGCACTATTTTATCCCTGGTTCAGTTTGCGCATCTTCTCTGCTTGTAAACTGCAGCTTTGACACCAAGTCATCCAGGATAACATATATTTCCTGATTCTCAGGTTGCCTCTCCCTAATTTTAAATTCACTTGCGATCTCATTTAGATCGACCAGACGGTGTCCAGGACTGAACCTCCCATCGCTTTCCTTTATGATAGCCTTCACCCTGTGAGCATCTTCCCATCTTCCCGCCGAAGCATATACACTGCACAACAGAGCATAGTGAGCACAGTTGCTTGGTTCCAGCTCGATCAACCTGAGGGCTATACGTTCCCCAAGTTTCCATTCCCCTCTGAACCGGCACAACCCAAGCAAACCACCCAATGCACGTGCCTTCAGCTCCTCTGGCACGCTCTTCAAGAGGCTCTCTGCTTCTTCCAGAAGGCCAACACTCCCATACAGATTCGCCATGCACCAATAGTGTGCGAATGTTGGCCTGAGACTGTACGTCGTGGTCATCTGGTTGAAATATACCTTCCCAGCATCCAGTAGACCTAAACGGGTACACGCGCAGAGTACACCAATGAAAGTGACTTCATCTGGTCGCAGAACCCATTGGTTATCTGAACCATTCTTCCCTGAAAAGGCAAGCACTAGATATATCAAACTTGAAAATGCATGGAGCCTAAGAGAAGCACAGGCATATATAGAAACCAATGTACGCACCTCGTCCAATCATCTGATGGAACAACTCAATCCCATCACCAGGCTCGCCATACACGCAATGCCCGATGATCATTGCATTCCAGCAAACAACATTCCGGACATTGAGCCGATCAAACACCTTCCTCGCAGCCGCCACCCTCCGGCACTTGCCATACATATCAACCAGCGAAGTCCAAAACAAGAGGTTATCCTCCTCGAAGCGGCGCAAGTATGCACAATGCACCTCCCTGCCAGACCCCAGCCACCCCAGCCTGGCGCACGCGGTGGCCACCCCGACCATGGTCGTCGCAGTGCCCCTGACCCCGACCCCCGCCATCCACCGCACCACCTCCAGCGCCTGCTCGGGCCGCTTCGCCTTCACATACCCATTGATCATGACGTTCCAGGACACGACGTTCCTGAGGAGCATTCCGTCGAACAGCTGGCGTGCGGCGTCAACGCCGCCGCCCGGAGCAGCAGCGTGTGCCGTCATCATGGTGTTGTGGGACGCGATGTCCCTGAAGGGCATTTCGTCGAACAGGTGGCGCGCGGAGGGGAGGCTGCCGGCGGCGCCGTAGAAATGGAGGAGCGCGTTGGCGGCGTGGGGCGGCGGCGCGAAGAGCAGGCCGCGGCGGAGCAGCTGCGCGTGGAGCGCGAGCGCGGCGGGGAGGTGGTGGCGCGGGGAGCGCGCGGAGGCGGCCGCGGAGAGCAGCGGCGGGAAGGCGAAGGCGTCGGGGAAGCCGGAGGGGGCGTGGGCGCGGAGGAGGTGGGCGAAGAGGGAGAGCAGCGCGGAGAAGGGGACGCGCGGGGCGACGGCGCGGAGGGCGGCGGAGAGG